CTGTATATATATATATATATATATATATATATATATATATATATATATATATATATATATATATATATAAGTTGAGGATAAACAAGCAGAGGTCGGACTTGACAGATGCTGGGTACCAGTCCCAACAATGTTAGACCGAGGCCCCTCCAAAGCAAGTTGTTCAAACAATTGTAGGAGTCGCTGACGGGTGTGGGACGAGAGGTCGTGCTATCCCTCCATACGATCTATCGACCAATAATCATGATGAACAACATTCAGTACACAGGCAAAGATACATGGCCGGATGCAATTTGCATCCAGGAAACACACTTGACACACAGGAAAGATCATGAAGAAAAAAGCAAGTGCAAATGGTCATATGTTTCCTTCTCGGCACCAACAAAGAACTTAGCTTCAACTGGGGTGTCCATCTGGTTGCCTCCCTCATCCAGACTGACACTGATCTAATCAGACTTTGACAAGGAGGAGAGTTGTTGGGTCTATCTTGTAGCCTCTCTTGGGGGGGAAACAACGTGTGGTCAGTGATTATGGTCTAAATGGTCCCGTAGCTAGAGTGGCTGTCTTGCACAATCTGCATCAGGCCTTGCCAAATGAGGTTCCACTAACAAGTGTAATCATAGACTGGGACTTCAATGTAAACCCTGATCTCACGCTGCATAGATGATCGACAACAATGACCTCACAAGAATCAAGGCTTAGGCAGGAACCGACGCTTGATGTAGCTTGTGATAAGCCAGGATCCGTACTCGGCGGTTTCCCGTACCCTTAAGGGAAAATCCCACGAAAGACCCCGAAGTACGGATTCAAGATAACAGGGAAGAACGGGGCTTCATTTCTTTTTATTTTTTCTTTCTTTTTCTTCTTTCACGAAACGAGGTACGAAGTAGAAAACTTAATTCGGATCTCGCATGGCCGGTCGCCAATAAATTAAAGAAACAGTTGGGAATTAGCAGGAGTAGGAATTTTGAATTTTGTGCACGCAGCAGTTTTTCGAATTTTTTAGCGCCGCGTAAACCCGTTCTCCCACTCTACATCCCCTCGCCATCTTCCTTTCTTGTTGCGTATTCCCTTCCTGCATGTCTCTTCGACTTCCCTCTAAGCGAGGTCCAATCCCTTCCTTCACCTTTCCCTGCGAACGATTGGTTGTCCGATTGGGATGGTCGGGGCAATGTGGTGGTAGCAGGAAACGCGCCCCACTTGGACGACCACCCCAATCACGCAGACCATTCGACTCGCGTCCTTCGATCCTTCTAGAACCTCTGCCCTTCTTTTGTCCTGCTCATCTACACCCCGTGCTTCACGCAGCCTCTCCGCCGCTTCCGCACTATAAATTTTTGGGCCCCCCTCCTCTCACTCTCTATGATCCCAACTGCAAGTTGCGCGAGCTATGCGGGAAACGCGCAGCGCCGTAAAGGCTCGACGTGCCATGTGACGGGCGGAGTGATGGTGGGTGGCGGAGTTAGCGATAGACTTGGGGTAAGGCAGTGGGAAGGATTGAGCGGTGGTGGAGATCAGACGTCGGCAGCGGCAGGGCCTTGTGGCTATGGTTGTCGATGGTTTTGACAGATTGGGGGTTGGGCCCTTAGTGGCCAGTCATGAGAATTTTGTATACGAAGGAAGTGTTTTTTCTCCATTGCTGCTTTGTCCCCATGTGATGTGTGCAAGGTCCCAATGTGTGGGTAATCTGTTGTATGCATTATCGGGTATGGGAGTCTATGGATGTTGAAGGTCTCATTGAGGGCACTATGAGTCGACGTGTGTGTATGCGCCCCCAGGCCGGATGATAAGAAACACCGAGTCGATTGCTTGCATGAGTGCGTCAGTCCTCCCTTCTTTTCATTCGCTCTTAAACCCACGTGGGTATGCGGGATGCGCGCCACCTCTCTCTCTCTCTCTCTCTCTCTCTCTCTCTCTCTCTCTCTTTTCGTGCGCAGGTCAGGATTCCGTGAGAGACAGATAATTTCGGAGGGATCGGTGGTTCTCGTCCCCGTGAAGCAACCGACCTCTCTACGGCCGGCCCAGAATCCCCAGCACCGCGTGCGGGTCGATGCCACAGAGAGAGAAAGAAAGTTAGGTGCATCTCGTTTCGGTGGTATTCGTTGGACTTTGTATGGATTCAGGTCTCGTTTCGACAGACGGGAGCACGGGCCGTAATCCGAGCTCATAACGTCGCAGCGCGCTTCTGCCCTTCCTGATCGCAGATGACAATGGTGTATACTGCGATGCGGACGTGCGGAGCACACTGCGGCGCACTGAGACAATCCATCTTTACAACCCAACCTGGGCGTGCCATATAGGAGGGAGTAGGTTCGTGCTGATTGAGCGATTTTTTTCCCCTCCCTTAATCCTGCCCTACACCGACCTCACGGTGTTGCCCTGGTCAGCCGCAGACGCAACGTGGCGGCCTCGGTTTAATTGTCATTGGTGTCGCCAGGGAGACTCGTGCTCGTGGCGACGATTAGTCCTGGGGTACGAAGGGGCCGCCTAATTCCCCGAAATCTCCCACAACGCAACGCATGAGCGCTTCCGGCCCATTTTCGAACCTGGGTTCCCACGACTTGCCTGACCCCGGGCAGCCTCGCGCAGTGTCGCCAACCCGGATTTGACGAGTCGGACACAGAAGCCTGAAACCCGATTCCGGGGACTCCGCCCCGAAAGGCCGTGCGAACCCGGCGCCACGGGGAACGGAACCCATTCCCCGTCGACATCTTTCCTTTTCTTTTCCCCCCTCGCCTCCCGTTTTCTTCTATGTGATGAGGGTCGTGCCATAGGGCACCGTTCTCCTGTTATTCGCCCCCGACGACAGTTCAAACCTCTGAAT